TCTGCGATCCATCGGCTAGCTAATTCGCCACTCACCGGATAAAGCCTCAGCAAAGGAGATATGGAAAACATAGTTACTTACTAGCCTTGACGGATCTCCTCTACGTCAAGCTCAAACGCATCCAATGGCTCATCAATGGCTCCGGCAACCTGCACGCGTTTCCCCGCCCCTATTTATCAGGGTAACTAAATTACGCGCAGGCGTTCTTCCCACAAAAGTTAGACGCGCCAGAAGCAGACCACCGCGTTCCCCATCCGACCTCAATCGTCGTGATTCAAGTGAGCAATACGAAACAATCCCTCACGTGCTCCACTCTCGCAGCCTAACCCATGAATCACGCTACAAACGGCACAAGGACATTTTCAAACAAGTTGCAACGATTTTACGCCGTCAGGGAACTACAGTCATCCCAGCACCACGCATCCCTGCACCAGTGACTTACATCAAGTCAGATCTACTCATCTGCCTTGACGCTGATATCTACGTGACGGATAATGCTGTCTGATGCACACCGGATGAACCAATCTTGCCACAACAAAATTGATAAATATGACGTCGGCGATGACGCAGTGACCATCAGAAACTGCGCACAAACTGCACTCTCCGCTATTGTACGTTATCCGCTCATCCTAAACACTAGAGGATATCCCCATCCCATGTCATCAAAACTTCTGTTGTAGTTGGGAATCTTAACCCTGGATATTTCGCATCTGTGCATCTCTATCATCCAAGGAACCATACGGATATACGCTGTTTTTATGCGAGGTTCAGTGCACCAAACACAGTCAGTAGAAAAACACTGACAAGTACTGGGATTGCGCCCCTGGACTGAGTTTCCCGAGCTTTTATTGAGCCATTTGCTTAATATTATGTTTGGGTACTCGTCTCACTTTGAGGAATGTCTGTACTGCTCTTTTCTCAAACCGTACCTGCTTTCGCCGAACACAAATGTTCCTCAGTTAACAATTTATAAGCTACCTATTCAGGTACGCTGGTATCAAGAAGCAGAAATAATTGACTTATTTCCCAAAAGTACGGTATACTTTTGCGGAAATAACACTGTGTTTTATTTCAATCTAATAATGTATGGTTTAGCTGCTTGACAGTATGTAAGAGCTCATCTAACATATCAAAGCAGGATGTACTTTAAAATGAAGTTTATACTGTACCACTCACAAATAGAAAGTAAGGCACTCGACGTTTTTCTAAAGGACAAGCATACGTCATCTTTCTACTTTGACCACTTTAGTCCAGTCGATTGCGTGGTCAACTTACGGAAGTTTCATTCTATCTGTTGCGAGTGCGCTTGCATGTCTCAGTAACCTATTTTATGGACGTAATTCGGAATGGCTAAGGTAATCAACTTTGCTTGTGTCCGCTGGCGCTTCTGTCGAATGCTGACAGCTGGATAGCCTGCTACCTTTCTCGTGCACACAACAAAATTTGTCTCTAAATGCTGCCGTTTTGTCGTACGAAGAGTAATTGATACATTTTGAGCCTGATATACTAGGTAAGCAAGAGTCGTGATAACAACTATTTAATTTCTCCAAATAAGAATACCAGAAGACACAGATTGTGGGTTGACACTGTTAGTTCGTGCATACTTGTCGGCCATCTAAATGCAACTAACAAGGGATGCAAAACAATGTCACGTGAAATCAATTAATAGTCACCTGTTTTACGATTGGTGCGTTGCAGCTACCACGGTAGGCTTAGTGTCATTGTCAGCTATTTTCGGACACAAAGTGACGGTCGCTGTCGATCGCTAACAGCGGCCTCGAGTAGCATGAGTGTGTGAGGACTTTGACTGCGCATGAGGACTGTGAATGACTCTCCGAGCTTACCTGGTGACCGGCGTCCATCAAGTGCCTCGTAATTGATGAGGCAACTTTGTTTCTTAATTCACCGAGTGCACCCGTCGCATGTCCCATTAGTTTACGGAGCCATTTTGAAATGTATGCATTGGTTCGAAAACCCAGATTTCGAGTAGTACGCTCAACATGACTATCATCACAACTACATGTGAATTTGTATAGGCAGTGGGGCGTGCGCTGCTTCCATACAGTTGTGTTCACTGGACAATGGAGTAGTGGTCGTGACGTCACCAGCAAGCCTAGCTCTGCTGTATTGCATGCCGTTTTATCTTCCTACATAATCACCGCTAATTTGAATGCACTTTTCATATCGCTGACTCAATTGCTCAATACCGTTCAGATAGAAGAGTTTTCTTGCACCATCAACCAACTTATGGTGGCTCACCTCAGTGAATCATCTGAATCAAAATATTTGCCTTTTAAATAGTACATCGAATTTAGGAAACAGACGAAAGCTACGTCTGGCCAAATCATGAGAGTGGTTAGATGAAGGAGTACCTAAAAGCCGCATTCACGTATAGCGGCTTTAACCATGTTGGCTGTGTGAGATTGTGTATGTACGTACAACATTAGAATACAAGCTGACAACGTTACTCTGCGTTTTATATAATACAGACTCTCAGTTACCGAATCAAATCAGCTTAATAGACACCAAAGGTTGTCATATTGTGTGGTACGTAATAAAAGCATACCAGCAGTATCATAGAAACTAGTTCACATGATCTTGGCTGCTATGAATCGAACTCTGAAGTTCATGTGTAATGGAGAAACCTGGAGTTTTACAGCTTGGATTGTTCTTTTTCTCAACATTGCACCGATATATCATACCTGGCACTGACTGCTACCTTAATCAATCCCAACCTTTGTGCATGGGTTCAAGATTTTCTTCTGAACACCGGACACAGTTTTTCATCATTTCGAGAAGAAACTTTCTCGTTACTCATTGCACGCACACCTTTGACTTATTTAAACGTTCGCGAATAATTCAGTCAGCAGTCAATAAACTACTGCTAACTGTATGAGATATTTCACGCACATTCATTCATTGATCTTCCATTTTCATCTACACGACAGCGACTTTTGCTGCAGAGTTTGCAAATATTGCTCGCCCGACCGTCGCTCACCTTGGCGCGATGCCCTTCCTCGGCGAAAATTAGCAGCAATACGTTAAATTGTTACACACGTTGGAGAGTGGTCTTGGCATACATTCATTATGCTTTCGTGAACTTCGTGCATCCGAATGCTCTCTAACATTAAAAATTTTACGATCTCTCAGCACTGCAATCTCTGTTCCTTTCAGAAATAGTAGGGTTTCCTGCAAGTAATCATGTAAAATTTCATACGAGCAGCTAAAATCTACAAACTGGGCACAATTTACGTACTAAGATAGATTAACAGTCAGCTGCAATTTGGCAGCTATCGCCATCATATTTCATAGTCAAGCTCAAAACTGATCGAACATCCGCCGTAAAATAGTGAAAATGGCATACGAGAATGGGAGTTAGTGAGCAGGAGGTAATGGCTGCATCTGAACAGATTGGTCGTTTCGTGAACACTCTGTATAATTCGTGTGAAAACCATCACCTGTTCTGTTATTCCCCTGCAGCGTTAGCAGTCAAGATTGATTGCAAGATTTTCTTATCGCCCTGCTCAACCTAAGGAAATGCCGAAAATCCAACTTAATATCCATCTAAATCCATTTTAAGTTTGTATATAGATTTACGAATTTTAATGAACCCCTGAAAAAACCGCAATTCAAGATAACCCATGAAGAAATGAAGAATTCATGATTTGTAATTAGAATGACACTGTGTGTGACCGAAACTATGTACGGGGGATGGATCAACAATATCACAATCATAAACCGTCCGAAAAGGGTAATGATTTTTATACTAAGCACCTAGGGGTATTAAAACATGTTAGAAGACAACATGTTAGTTTACGTGTGCTCCATACAACGCATTTCCTGGGACAAATCTTTCGGAGCTAAATATACTTTACGTGGTTAAAAAACGTATCGAATTCCCAGTGAAATGTTTCCTGATCAATTTTTCTACAGCGCCAGTTCTAAATGTCTATCCCGGCTGGTTGAACAAAACACTAACATTGATAGCCGTTCTTGTGTGGTAAGATAACCGTACTTATATTGTAATAAGATGCCTACTAGTTATAACCATAATGCCATATATTCAAGGATAACCGGAAATGCAGGTTGGATGCGCTTATGGCTGCGTTCCCTTGACTAATTATTTGATGCCATTGTGGCGTTAATCTTAAGTAGGTGGAATCCAAAGCCTGCTCCACAGGTATTTCCGTCGAAATCACTCCTCAATCTAAATTCGAGACGTCATATTGCACTAAATTAATGCAACTGTTTGCGGTGTCTGTACGCAATTCGATGCAGTCATAAACTGCTGACGTTAACGGTATATTATGGGTGGCGAAAAACTAAAGCCGTTTTTCGCCGTACTTCGGACCGAATTTTGTTCCGCACCGCTTAAGCATTCATTCCAAAATGCGCGGACACTCACTGAAGCTAATTGACCATATGATGCTAACATAGAAGTCAAAAACAGCCCTAAAGCGGTATAAGTGAATCGACATCGTTAAGCGCACAGCTGACATGAATCTGTCCGAGTTTGTCTTTGTAAACCGGCACGAAAAAAACGGTGGTGAAACCTAGATATACGTTTCTATAAAAGAGGTTTCCTGATCAAGCATAAGCCATGGGTTTTAAATGTCAATGTCGCGGATGAGCAGACAGAAGGAATAGCATCTTTTGAAGTTATTCGGATGTCCGGCATCTCTTCGACTGCTTTGGAATCTCTTTCGTTCCATTATCCGTATGACACTGCCGTTTTGTTCCACTCCTGCGTAAAAACTACAGAAGTTCACACTTGAACAATCCACAAATTAAGTAGAAACTAATACATTCGACACGATGGGAATAACGTTCCTTGACTGAGTTATATTTACTTAGTTTTGATGGTACGCCTGGTGAAACTTGTCTTGTGAAGATGGGAGCAATAACACTTTTAGACATCTTCCATTCCCCCACCCTTTGTACACAGTGGCTGAGATCTCACTTCATCCATTACTAACTCCTCGTTGGTTCGTCCTCCACAAATGGGCAATCTCCTTGGATCCCACAAGAAGCTTCCAAAAGAGGACTTGGAATTTTTACGCGGGAACACAAATTTCACAAAAAAGCAAATCAAACAATGGTATCGTGGATTTATCGTGAGTACTATATATTACCCAAAGTCTTGTTTTTCGTCTTGCTCTAATGTGGACTGATGGCCTCCCCAAATTACAGTCTTAAAATTTGAATCTGTTAGTCCAGTGTGACAGCACATTCTGAATTCGCATTGTCAAATATTCGGTTTTGTGGCGCGAAGCACAACTTTGGATGCGACCTCTTATCCCCTATTTACATATTCCGTAGTTAAATGACATTCTCCATGGTTACCAGTCTAGATAATTATCAGTCCAGTTGTAGTCTCTTCAGAACTACCGGAAATGTCTGCCTCTTCTGTGGAGACACTACTATTACATCCAATGATTGGAAAGCTTCAATCCATATTATTAGCTAGGATAGGCGCCGTTAAATTGAGCAAACAATCTCTGAAACAACTACCATGGCAAATTTGAAGTACTAATGACTTCCTTTTATCGACATGGTCTAACATCCATCCAGGCATTATCAGATAAGAACAGTCAAACCAGTTTATCTCAGAGCATCGTACTCTACTATGCCTTACGACAGCTAGGCATCTAACTTTGGAAAATTTCTCCCTAAATCCATTACGGGTTGAGATGAGAGCTAATTTATCACACCATATTCCCCTGCCACAATTGGTCTAATAACTGTGGATCGGTCCAACAGTAAGAAGCCCAAAAATAACTTTGCTATATTTCATAATGACGATAAAGTTTTACTAAATACGTTTCTGTCCCCAACAGCATATGAAGACACCCTCACTCCGGAGCAACTGCCGATGCAGACTAATTAACAAAAATTCATGGATTAATAACTTTCTGACAACCCTTGAAATTTAGACACGATCTAAGACTTGGCTTTACATTTGTCAAAATTTCGGTAGCGGTAGACAACCTATACAGCTTTAATGACTGTTCAAATAATCACGATTGAGAAAGTTTATAATCCTTTATTAGAATAGACGGGAAAAGACTTTATCCTGACTGACTGTATTTTGGAGCAATTAGAAATGATTTCAGCGCAAATCTTTCGAAATATCGTGATAAAACTTATGAAAATTTCACTCGTGAACATCTGTATCCTTCTCATGTAACAGTAAAAATATCTGACTCACGGTATGGCAGGAGTGACACATGTGAGATGTCATCGTAAGTGTGCAATCATTTTCTGAATCGAATATAGGTAAAATATAAATCCAACAACTTTTGAAATGCTGCACAAGCTTGTCCTCCATCAAATATTCAGGCAACCTGTTCCAAATCATTACCACTCTCCGTTCGAAGCAGAGTGTTTAGGGGATTCGCTTCAAATCGGGCACTACAAGTTTGTATGCGTGTCCGCGTGTACTGCATAGCCCTCGTAAGTGCAGCATTGGCATCAGCATGGGGAAGTCACCGAGGTGTAGCATACGGTAGGTCATACTGAGGTCAACGCGCAACCGACTGTTGGACAAGGTGTAGAGTCCTAGTCTCTCGCGCCCGTCTGCATACCGCAAACTACGTAAACTCGGGATGAGCTTGGTAGCAACGTGTTAGACCCGTTCGAACTTCTTTTCCTCCCTCGGGTAATCAGAAAGTAGGCTGGCGTCCAGTACTATAGCAACGGTCTAATGGTGGAAGAGAAGTGGTAAGTGGCAACCTCTTCAGACCATGTGCTGAAGCTACGTTTGAGGGCCCAAAGCATACGCAGTCCGTTACAAAATAGCCTGTTCGTGTTGTCCACGGACTTCTAACCGTAGCGTGAGAGTACACCTAGGTCCTTCACGGAGGGTGTTGGATATGGCGGTTGGCCGTCAAAGGTGTAGATTCGGCCGTCAGCACCCTTCCCCAGGCTCACGCACACAGACTTGACTGGGTTGGCCGGGAGAGAAAATCCTGTAGACCATGTGGATAGACGGCTGATGTCTAGCTGAAGTACGCCATGGCCGTCAGGTGTGTCAGTTTCTCTCCAAGTCTTTATGTCGTCCGCAGCTCCGTGTGTCTGGCCCAACAACCTAGCGCGAAGAGCCTTCAGGTTTCTGCTCAGTCGTCCTCCTCTACCCGTGCAAACTCACCGACACGAAGTCCAACCGTTGTGAGAAGCCCAGTTGCACCTGACCGAAATTGTTTACCTTTGTTGTATCCAATGGACACTGATGTCCCAGCGGGTGAAAGTCTGAATGCTGAAGAACAGTGGAAAGAACAGAGGACGAAATTACGAAGGAACGTTGGGCGTTTACCTCCTGTAAGTCAACAGTTAGCCAAACCACTTGAGGCTGGTAGTATACTTCGCCCTGTAAGGCCAACCTCGTCCGACCAGAGGCGTTATAATCTCGTGATCTTTCACGCACCGGAGTCCAGTGATCCATCACCCCAAGTGCGCTACGATCACGATGTCGAGTTTTTACAGGGTCTAATTGATAGACTCCTCGACGTTGGTGAGGACTCGGTAAAAGTTTGGCAGATTACCCGTCTTGGAAAGCAGGGGGATCAACAAAATCGGCCTATGAGACTCACTTTTGTGCACGAAGTCAGTCCAAGACTGATCATGTCTCGCCTAACTGGGCTGAAAGGTTTGAAAATCCATGTTCGTCCCGACCTAGACCCAGTAGACAGGGAGCGGCTCAAGTCTGCCATCATTGAGCTGAAAAGACGCACTGGTGAGGGGGAAACCAATCTTCGTTTCGTAAATTTTCGGGTGGTTTCCAACAATCCGCGAATCAGGATAAACAGGCTGCTCACACTTCAAGCACGCCCGGTGGCTCCTGCTGCGACCTGCGAGTAGCCTTCACAAACGTTTGCAGTATTATGAATAAGCGCGATGAACTTCGTTGTTTCGTTGCGTCTGAGCGGCCAGACGTAGTGGGACTCGCAGAGACATGGTTGCATACAGAGTTATACACCCAAGAACTTGAACTCAACGGTTACTCGTTTTTCCGACGCGATAGACTAAAGAATGCCCACAGTGGTGTCTTACTTTACATCCGGTCTTTCCTGCGTGGGAGACTTGTGAGCACCTACCGTGGTGATGATGGTCTGTGTGAGCTACTGTGGTGCTCCATCCGCCTCAGGCGCGGAGAACTGCTTGTGGGCGCATTTTATCGCAGTCCCCTGAGTCGTTGTTTGGATTGGCTGCCCATTCTTCGGACCCACATGAGTCGTCCACACTTTCTACTTATGGGCGATTTTAACTGCCCTCGTACACGATGGCCTGATGTGCATTTGATGCCTGGACATAGTGAGATTGAAGCAAAGTTCGTGGATTTGGTACTTAAAACGGGTGCATCGCAACACATATGCCAGCCAACACGCATATCAACACGTTCAACCAAGTCCTGTCTCGACCTGATGTTAACGAGCTACGAACAACGAGTGCGTAACATTAGGATTCTGGAGCCCCTGGTTACGAGCGACCACCCAGTACTGATAGCTGATATGGAATTATCTTTGCCGTATTCACATCCGCTGCGACAAGCTCCCAACTACTGGAAACCGGACTTCGATGGTCTAGCTCGAGCCGCGAGCCAAGTGGATTGGTCTCTGTCACAAGCTACATCTGTAGAAGATTGTTGGATATTTATAAAAGAGAGATTGACATCATTGTGTTCCCAATTTGTGCCATTGAAATGTCGAAAGGTTGGACCGATTAAGCCTCATTGGTTTGACAAGGAGTATAGAAACCTGGCTCGGAGGCGGCGCAGACTGTGGGACAAATTCCTCCTCTCTGGCTCTGCCAATGATTACGAAGGGTATAAATGTCAGCGGAACCTCTGCAATAGTGCGAAAAAGAATAAACGCCGACACTTTGAAGAGCAGCTGGCATCAGCCGCGAAAACCGCCCCAAAGAGAATCTTTGCATACGTGACGCCTAAAGCCGTCAGGTGATGTGCCGGTGCTGGATGGCACGGATGGACAGCCCCTAACCTCCAGCACTGAGCGTGCGTCCGCGTTGGCGGCGCACTTCGCTTCTGTATTTGCGAATAACCAGGTGTCTGTTCCGAGTTCGACGTGTACCGCTTTTACCGAACTCCATAGTCTGCAGTGCGGTGTTGAAGGGTGGCTCAACTACTCGCCAACCTTAACGGCACCAAACCTGCCAGACCTGATGGGCTTCACCCACTTGTTCTCAAGTCACTTTCAACCATCCTCTCTCCTGTTGTGACTGACCTTACCAACAGGTCGCTGTCCGCAGGTTTGTTTCCGGTTGACTGGAAATGTTCGGTGGTGAAGCCTATTCCGAAAGGCGGCGACCCTATCAAAGTAGACAATTACAGGCCAATTTGTATGACACCTAATTTGGCAATGGAGGCTGAGAAAATCGTGAAGAAGAGATTGCTGCAATTGCTACAGTCAAACGAGGTCCTGACGCCCGCACAGCACGGTTTTATGCAAGGTCGCTCATGCATAACGAACCTGCTTGTGACGAGGCATGAGTGGTTGAAGGCAATAAACAAGGGGAAGTCCGTCGACGTGATATTCATCGATTTCAGTAAAGCGTTCGACAAGGTCAGTCATGAGGTTCTCCTTCACAAACTCAGCATGTGTGGTGTCGGTGGCTCACTGCACCGGTGGATCCGCGACTTTCTTGTTGGACTAAAGTGGAGGGTACAGGTCGACGACCATCTAACTGACTGGTACCCCTCTACAAGTGGCGTGCCTCAAGGCACTGTGCTGGGGCCCACTCTGTTCCTAATCCACATCAACGATCTACCGCAACTTCTCCGGTCGCCGTGTGCCTTGTTTGCGGACGACATGAAGATATGGAGAGAAATTGACGCTACCGATAACTGTGGCCTGCTTCAGCAAGACCTCAACCGCCTATCCGCATGGTCTGCAGAAGTTCTTCTACCGGTCAACCCAGCCAAGTCTGTATTTATGAGCCTGTGGAAGGGTGCTAACGGCCGAAATTACACACTTGACGGCCAAACGCTATATCCCACACTCTCCGTGACGGACCTGGGTGTACTCTCACGCTACGATTTAAAGTCCGTGAACAACACGAACAGGCTATATCGTAACGGACTGCGCATGCTTTGGGCGCT